GGTGACTGCAGGAGGAAAACAAGGACGAACGCGGCGTCTAATTTGAGTCTGCGGTGGGTACCCACTGTGCTGTGCCCCCCTGCAGGCCTCGAAAGTGGCGACAGTTTCACAGATCGCAGGCCCCCCAGGGATGGCGAGGTCTAATTTGAATCCGCGGTGGGTACCCACTGTGCTGGGCCCCCCAGCAGGCCTCGAAAGTGGCGACAGTTTCACAGATCGCACCCCCCCAGGGATGGCGAGGTCTAATTTGAACCCGCGGTGGGTACCCACTGTGCTGTGCCCCATCAGCAGCCCTCGAAAGTGGCGACAGTTTCACAGATCGCACCCCCCCAGGGATGGCGAGGTCTAATTTGAATCTGCGGTGAATACCCACTGTGCTGGGCCCCCCAGCAGGCCTCGAAAGTGGCGACAGTTTCACAGATCGCAACCCCCCAGGGATGGCGAGGTCTAATTTGAATCCGCGGTGAGTACCCACTGTGCGGGGCCCCCTAGCAGCCCTCGAAAGTGGCGACAGTTTCACAAATCGCAGCCCCCCAGGGATGGCGAGGTCTAATTTGAGTCCGCGGTGGCGTACCCACTGTGCTGGGCCCCCCAGCAGGCCTCGAAAGTGGCGACAGTTTCACAGATCGCAGCCCCCCAGGGATGGCGAGGTCTAATTTGAGTCCGCGGTGGGTACCCACTGTGCTGGGCCCCCCAGCAGGCCTCGAAAGTGGCGACAGTTTCACAGATCGCAGCCCCCCAGGGATGGCGAGGTCTAATTTGAATCCGCCGTGGGTACCCACTGTGCTGGGCCCCCCAGCAGGCCTCGAAAGTGGCGACAGTTTCACAGATCGCAGCCCCCCAGGGATGGCGAGGTCCCATTTGAGTCCGCCGCGGGTGCCACTGTGCTGGGCCCCCCAGCAGGCCTCGAAAGTGGCGACAGTTTCACAGATCGCAGCCCCCCAGGGATGGCGAGGTCTAATTTGAGTCCGCGGTGGGTACCCACTGTGCTGGGCCCCCCAGCAGGCCTCGAACGTGGCGACAGTTTCACAGATCGCAGCCCCCCAAGGATGGCGAGGTCTAATTTGAACCCGCGGTGGGTACCCACTGTGCTGGGCCCCCCGGCAGGCCTCGAAAGTGGCGACAGTTTCTCAGATCGCAGCCCCCCAGGGATGGCGAGGTCTAAGTTGAATCCGCGGTGGGTACCCACTGTGCTGGGCCCCCCAGCAGCCCTCGAAAGTGGCGACACTTTCACAGATCGCAACCCCCCAGGGATGGCGAGGTCTAATTTGAATCCGCGGTGGGTGCCCACTGTGCCGGGCCCCCCAGCAGCCCTCGAAAGTGGCGACAGTTTCACAGATCGCAGCCCCCCAGGGATGGCGAGGTCAAAGGCAGGGGGGAAGAGAGGGACGGGAAGGAAGGAAGGTTCGCGCGAGGAGTGCTTTATTCAAAACGAGAACCCAACGCAGGAGGGTTGGGAATTTCGCAAATGGCAGGGGCGTCTCTTCGGAGTATCCTAAAAACTCACACCTTGCATGGGAGCATGTGTGGAGCATTCTCAAAAAGCGCACATGGCTCTGGGGCATCCTTCGAGTATTTTGAGATTTCGCACATGGGGCTGACATATCTTTGGACAATTCTGAGACTTCGCAGATGGCACTGGAGTATATTTGAAGTTTGTTTTACAACATTCCGCACATGGTGCCAGAGTGTCTCTGCAGTATTGTCGGGTAAGTTTGGAATGTTGCTGGAGCATGTTTGGAACGCGTGAGTTCTGCGGGAGCATTTTCTAATATTTCGAAATGTTTGAAATCAGCGGGGAGCACGCTGTGAGCATTTGAAATCTGCGGGGTGTGTTGTCAGAGTATGTTGCGCCTGCATTTTGTGCTTGAAATCCCCCGGTGGAGTACGTTGCTCGGCGCGCGCGCAACGTCCTGCGCTGGAAGACTTAACTCGCGGGATGCGGCGGACACTCAATCCGAGCATCCGAAAGACTACTGCTGCGCCGGCGACGATGCTTGTCTGTATTCTGGATGCCCCGATGGTGCCGGCGACGATTGGGGCGCGCCGCAGGCTCCCAGTCCTGCTTTACTACGCGCGCACTGGGCCCATCGATCCACACGCATGAGTATTTGTGTATGAGCGCGCACTTGTGTGCACATAGGCGCATCGATCTGCCCTGGTTGAATGCGCCCTACGCGGCTCCGCGCCATCCGCGCGACCGCCTTACCGATCCGATGGAAAAAAAAAAAAAAAAAAAAAAAAAAAAAAAAAAAAAAAAAAAAAATAAAAAAAAAAAAAAAAAAAAAAAAATGTTATGTTCTTGTAAAATTATACGCAAATGTGCACCATTACGCGCCGAATTGTACCCTTATCGACTCTACCCCACTAAAACAGCACATGCAACCCTTCTCGTCTCTATCATGTAAGGACGGGTGGTTGTCTATCTGCCATGTCATCTCTACGCCGACTCCAAGTCTGCCCCATTCGGAACCGGCTCTAAGCTCATCCCGCGCCCAATTGCAGTCAACCTGACTCACGGACAACCTCCAGTCCACTCCGGCTGCGCTCAATTTCAACTCCTACTCCACTCAGATCTACTCGATGACGGCATCAAAAAAAGGTTATGTTGTCCGGTCTGGACTGCCCCTCGGGCAATATAGCCCGCGTGATTGCCAAAAGAGACCCACTGGCCGAACGTGGGAAACGCCGATCTATGTGTGCCACCCTTATTGAAGCGGAATTGGGTGGGGAGGATGCACAAGGATGGCGCGCATGAGCGAGGGGGTAAAGAGGGGGTGAGACTGGAGTTTTGTAGCGACATCTTGAATGCCAGCGGCCACGAAGACTGATCGGGCGGTTTTTGTGGATGGGCGTAAAAAAATGGGGAGGCAAATTAGCCTGACGAAAGACCCAACCATACGTAGTTGTGAATAGCGCAATTGTGGATATAGTTTTCGGTGGCGCCCCCGGGCCACGAAACGAGTGAGGGGTGTGCCGAAATGGGGGGGTGGAACCGCATGCGGGCGCAGCCACTGGGGCGCTCGGTGGAGCTCCCTATGGAGCCACGAAACGTGTGAGGGGTGTGCCAGAATGGGGGGTGGAACCGCATGCGGGCGCAGCCACTGGGGCCTTCGGTGGAGCTCCCTATGGGGCCACGAAACGTGTGAGGGGTGTGCCAGAAAGGGGGGTGGAACCGCATGCGGGCGCAGCCACTGGGGCCTTCGGTGGAGCTCCCTATGGGGCCACGAAGCGTGTGAGGGGTGTGCCAGAGTGGGGGGTGGAACCGCATGCGGGCGCAGCCACTGGGGCCTTCGGTGGAGCTCCCTATGGGGCCACGAAGCGTGTGAGGGGTATGCCAGAATGGGGGTGGAACCGCATGCGGGCGCAGCCACTGGGGCCTTCGGTGGAGCTCCCTATGGGGCCACGAAACGTGTGAGGGGTGTGCCAGAATGGGGGGTGGAACCGCATGCGGGCGCAGCCACTGGGGCCTTCGGTGGAAGCTCCCTATGGGGCCACGAAGCGTTGTGAGGGGTGTGCCCAGACTGGGGGTGGAACCGCATGCGGGCGCAGCCACTGGGGCCTTCGGTGGAGCTCCCTATGGGGCCACGAAACGTGTGAGGGGTGTGCCAGAATGGGAGGGGGTGGAACCGCATGCGGGCGCAGCCACTGGGGCCTTCGGTGGAGCTCCCTATGGGGCCACGAAACGTGTGAGGGGTGTGCCAGAAGGGTGGGTGGAACCGCATGCGGGCGCAGCCACTGGGGCCTTCGGTGGAGCTCCCTATGGGGCCACGAAACGTGTGATGGGTGTGCCACAATGGGGGGTGGAACCGCATGCGGGCGCAGCCACTGGGGCCTTCGGTGGAGCTCCCTATGGGGCCACGAAACGTGTGAGGGGTGTGCCAGAATGGGGGGTGGAACCGCATGAGGGCGCAGCCACTGGGGCCTTCGGTGGAGCTCCCTATGGGGCCACGAAACGTGTGAGGGGTGTGCCAGAATGGGGGGTGGAACCGCATGCGGGCGCAGCCACTGGGGCCTTCGGTGGAGCTCCCTATGGGGCCACGAAACGTGTGAGGGGTGTGCCAGAATGGGGGGTGGAAACGCATGCGGGCGCAGCCACTGGGGCCTTCGGTGGAGCTCCCTATGGGGCCACGAAGCGTGTGAGGGGTGTGCCAGAATGGGTGTGGGAGGGGGAGGAGGGTGGAGGAAGGGGAGGAGGAGGAAGGAGGAGGAAGGAGGAGGAAGGAGGAAGGAACGCGGGGACCGTCTCTTCAAAACGAGGACCCAACAACACAGGTTGGTTGGGAAAAAACAGGGATCCGAATCTGCAGGGCCACTGTCGGCTGCCCAGAGGGTGCTCGTCGAATTGCTAACGCTGCGCGCAAATCTAATCGCAGCGCGCGATGGTAGCTCGCAGTCGACCCTCATTGTGCACGTCGCACAAACCACATTGCCACAGACGCACGCCTCTGCTAAAACGCGATAGCGCGCGCTGCCGCCACCAACTGCGGCGAAACAAATAGTGGTGGCGCCACGCGGTGTAGCATGTTTTCCAACCGCGTGCATCGTGCACCGTGCATCGTGCGTGCACTGTGTATTGCTTTCCGCGAACGGCGTGTTCCCTATGAGCCCTCCAGCTTTCCCAGTCAATTCCTCTGATGCGAGCATGCTTCCAAGTCGCCGCGCAAGGCTTTCGTCATATATGCTGAGCGAGGCAAGAACAACGGGCACCTCCTCGTCCTCATCCACCTCCTCCTCCCCTTCCCCACCTCCTTTTCCTCGTCCTACTCCTCCACCTCCACCTCCTCCTCCTTTTCCGTTTCCGTTTCCGTTTCCGTTTCCTCCTCCTCCTCCTCCTCCTCCTCCTCCTCCTCCTCCTCCTCCTCTCTGCATCAAGCATCGTCTTTCTCATGGGGCCTTCCAGCTGTCGCATTCCACCCTTTGATGTGATCATGCTTCCAGGTCGACGCGCAAGGTTTTCTTCATCAAAGATGTTGCGACAAGCAAGGAGGAAGGGACACCTCCTGAGCCGCCACCGGGTAGAAGCCGCCGTACGCGAAGTTCTCGTTGCAGATGTCCAGCAGCATCGTCAGCTGCGCCGTGGAGACGTGCAGCCTGCCCAGCGAAGGGATGCCCATACGAGGATGGGATGAGCGCAGGAAGGAGGGAAGAGGGGAAAGAGGAGACGAGCGTAAGGAGAGCGCGGGTCCCCGCGGACCCGCAGCCCGATAAGGGGGCAGAGAGCGGCTTGGGCGCTCCTGCCTCGCCGAAGTTGTCGCCGACGGCGGCCACGAAAGAGGGTGCCCACAGGAGGAGAGGACAAGAGCGGAGCAGGGGGGAGGGATGAGACACCCCGCCGTGGAAGAAGCTCTTCGATGCCGCCCGAAACGAAACGAAGAACGGCCTCATGGTGGCCGGCCTCCTGCCGGGGGCCCGAGGCCTGCCTTCGAAACACCGGGAGCAGGGAGGAGGGACGAGGGGAAAGTGGAGGAAGAGGACCCAGACCTCCTCGAGTCATGAAAAAATCACGACGGGAAGTTTTTCGCAATTTTCGGCCTCTGAGGGCCCTTACTGGGCCTCGGGACCGTCAAAAAACGACTCGGGATGAAAAACTGGTCCCGGGGAATGGGTCTGGACCTCTGGGGGTCGCGTCATGAAAAAATCATGACGTCGGGGGTCTGGGGATGAGGACGAGAAGAGTGTTCAAACGGGGCGAGGGATACAGGGGTGGGGGAGGAGGAAGAAGGTAGAGGAAGGCGGAGCAAGGATGGGGAATGGCAGCGAGAGGAGGGAGGAAGGCGAGAGAGGAGGAGGAGGAGGAGGAGGAGGAGGAGGAGGAGGAAAGAAGGTGAGGAGAGGAACGGGAACACAAAGAAGCTAATCACCCATTCCTTGCGACCCACAGGAGACGTTCGGGCCGCCCGGTCCACTCCACTCCCGACTGCGCAGCAGACGCCGCGCCGCTCCTCTTGCAGCTCTCGCCCCGCTCCGTCGGAGGGCTGTCCCTGCGAACAGTGAGCACGAGAGAAAGACCTCGAGCCTATGCCGAGAGGCTTGACGGAGGAGAGGAGGCGAGAGCCCCTGCACTCCAGTCAGCGGTGCTCGCGCGCGTGCGTGGCAAGCTCTCGCGGCGTGCTCCACAGCTCCGCCCCGCCTGGGCGGGCTACCCTCGGGCCGGGGGCGGCGCGGGAGGAATGTCCTGACGCTCAGGTCGCGGGACGAGGCTGCCCGATGGGCAGGCGCGAGGCGAAGGTCCGGCAGGTCAGACGGCAGGAGGGGGAGGGGAGGCGGAGGTGGTTGCCTGTGCTGCTGCTGCCGCCGCTGACGCTTCTCCTCTTCGAGGTGGGGGCAGGGGGGTACGTAAGGGCGGGGAGGTGGATGCCCGTGCTTCTGCCACTGCTGCTGCTGCCACTGCTGCTGCTGCTGCTGCTGCTGCTGCTGCTGCTGCTGGTCCCACCATTTCCTCTGCCTTCTCCTCCTTGCCGGCTCATGGTGAGGGGAGGGGAAGAGGCAGAGGGAAAGGAAGAAAAGATAATCCCAACTGTTTTCCTCTCTCTTCTTGTCCTGGTTCTTCTCGTCCACGTCCTCCTCCTCGTACTCCGCCTCCTCCTCCTCATCTTCCCGCCCTCTTTCTGGGGAGGGGAAAGAAGATGGCGACGACCTGGACGGCAAGGAGGGGCAGAAGGCAAGAGTAACGGGGCTTCTCCTCCTCCTCCTCCTCCTCCTCCTCCTCCTCCTCCTCCTCCTGCTCCTGCTCCTTCTCCTACATCCGCGGCCTCAGCTTTTGAGGTGCGTGGCCACCAGGGCCGGGCATGTGGGAGGGCAGTCCAAGGAGAAACGCGCGACGGGGCGTGTCCACCAGGAGGATGTTTGTCGGCACCCCGGCGGGAGGACGAACACCACCGAGATGCCCGCGACAGGACACGCCCCGAACAAGAGAGCGACAGACCCAGACCCCCGACGTCATGATTTTTTCATGACGCGACCCCCAGAGGTCCAGACCCATTCCCCGGGACCGGTTTTTCATCCCGAGTCGTTTTTTGACGGTCCCGAGGCCGGGGAAGGGCCCTCAGAGGCCGAAAATAGTGGAAAACCTCCAGTCGTGATTTTTTCATGACTCGAGGAGGTCTGGGGAGGCAGGAGAGGAACGAGGCGAGGCGGGGGGAAGCCCTCGCCGCAGTCGCGAGATCCTCCTCCCCCCCACGCAGCGCGCGGCAACTGCAACCCGGCGGCAGGCCTCAGACAACCAAGGTGCCCGCGACGGGGCACACCCCGAGCAAGAGAGCGACAGAGGGAGGAGGAGGAGGAGGAGGAGGAGGAGGAGGAGGAGGAGGAGGAGGAGGAGGAGGAGGAGGAGGAGGAGGAGGAGGAGGAGGTAGGAGGGCGGAGGAGGAGGAGGAAGGAAGTGACGGAGGAGGGAGGAAGGAGGGCAGGAGGAGGAAGCGGAGGGGAGGAGGTAGGCGAGGAAGAGGAGGAAGGAGGAGGAGGAGGAGGGGGAGGAGGAGGAGGAGGAGGAGGAGGAGGAGGAGGAGGAGGAGGAGGAGGAGGAGGAGGAGGGGGAGGAGGAGGAGGAGGAGGAGGAGGAGGAGGGGAACAACCTCACCGTCATCGCGGTGCCCCTCCTCCCCAGACATCCGGCCGCTCCTTTCTTGTCGATCCGTGGGCCCCGGAGGTCTGGTGCAGGGCCAGTCTTTCATCCTGGGTCGTCTTTTGACGGCCCCGAGGCCCGGCGAGGGCC